TTGTAGCTTGGTATCAAAAGCCAATAACAGCCGTGCTAAAAGAACACTGTATTTGAGACTCAGCAGTCGCTGTGCAACATCTATCTGGCAAACAACACCCGATTGTCTAATTACTACGGATCTCTTATGCAGAGTAGCGTTATTTAAGTATAGGTCAACGTTTTACTTAACGCCTACTGCAGAATAGAAAAACCCAACAATGACTGAGTTGGAAGACTTAGTCGCAGAAGTAGTTCAAGCTAAAGTTAGCCACCTCGGTACTAAGTTCACAAAAGGTCTGATATTGAAGGATCTTACATATTTTAAAGTGGAAAATGATGCTGCCAATTTTTAGTCAGACTCTCATAAATATGCCTACGAATAATTATAAATGTTTTTATCCATTTAAGTGCAAATCTTACCAATACAGCTTACCGAAATATAGAGTACTCCAGCACAAAAAGAGGCCAACGTGATGAGTAAAAATGGGAATGATCTTTTTTTGAAAATGGAGAGACGTGCAAACATTTTCTTTGAAAGAAACCACGAAAGTGGTTCCCGCGCACAGTTACTTGTTACTTATCCTCTGATATTTGCAAGTAGTGCTTTATAACAGTAGTAGACTCTAGTCGCTTCAATCGTTCGCTGACCCGACAAAACCCACTGTCACTCATTTTCATATTCCCCTCCGTCCGATCGCATGAAATGATAAAGTTGCCACTCAATCCGTATCTATTATCGCAGCTGTAAAAGGTGTTGGGCTTAAGTAGACATCTGTGAGTACTTGCAGGTTATTAGGCAGTTTGCAAGTCCGTATTTGATGCAGAATTTTTATACCAAAGAATATGCTTTGTGTATATTTTAGAACAATTTCTGACATACGCTAAATACCTAAATCCCATCACATATTTATTATGGATTTTACAGTTTACTTAATGATATAGGGCCATCAAGTTGGGTTTACCCCATACGAATATTTTTCCGATGTTACTTATATGTTGTTTAACCTTTTTGGGACAGTAAATTCAAACTTAGCAAACTTAGTTTCATTCAGCAAACGAATAGGACGTACCCGACATCGATCTAGGGCAATAGCAGTTATGCTCATGGAAGACACGAAGACATTTGTGCCCTGTACCATGGAAGTCAGT